AAAAATATTCAAGTAATACACTTTAGCTGGGGCATAGAAGCACATGTCTGTAGTCCCAGTTACTCATGAGTCTGAGGCAGGAGAATCGCTTGAACCCAGGAGGCGGAGACTGCAGTGAGCCAAGACTGCGCCACTGCACTGCAGCCTGGGCAACAGAATGAGTCTCCCTCCCCAAAAAAAAAAAAAAATTTTACAAAGGTATACAGAGGAAGCAGGGAAGCAGCCTCATTCCAGAATCTATCATTGCCGGCTAGGGCGGTAGCTCACGAGTTCAAGACCAGCCTGGCCAAGATGGTGAAACCCCACATCTACTAAAAATACATAAAATTAGGCTAGATGTGGTGGCTTACAGGCCTGTAATCCCAGCACTTTGGGAGGCCAAGGTGGGCGGGTCACCTGAGGTCGGGAGCTTGAGACCAGCCTGACCAACATGGAGAAATCCCATTTCTACTAAAAATACAAAATTAGCCGGGCATGGTGGCACATGCCTGTGATCCCAGCTACCTGGGAGGCTGAGGCAGGAGAATCACTTTAACCCGGGAGGCGGAGGTTGTGGTGAGCCAAGATCTTGCCACTGCACTTCAGCCTGGGCAACAAGAGAGAAACTCTGCCTTAAAAAAAAAAAAAAAAATTAGCCGGGCATGGCGGCAGGCGCCTGTAATCCCAGCTACTCAGGAGGCTGAGGCAGAGAATTGCTTGAACCCGGGAGGCGGAGATTGCAGTGAGCCGAGATTGCGCCAGTGCACTCCATCCTGGGCAACAGAGCAAGACTCCGTCTCAAAAAACAAACCAAAACCAAAAACTATCACTGCGAATCCATACAGTAAATAGTAAAAAGTTCAATACACTATTTCCATAGCAAAATATGCTATTTTTTGAACTCACGTCAATGATCTCAGGTGTTTAACTAGATTGATTCTGAACAGTTGATATTTACAATCTTTTTTTTTTTCCTGAAAAGAGACAATCGCTAACCACAAGACCCAAAAATGATACAGCTTGTAGAAGATTTTTAAACTGAGAAAATTCAATTAGGCAGGAGAACCTTAATTTAGCAATAAAACACTGGCTTACACTCAAGAGATTTTTCACTTCCAGTTTCTACTGCCTTCTAGTTAAAAGTCTAACTGAACACAGGAAGAAAAATTAAAACTCCAGTTGCCAGGTTACAGTGCACAGGAAATCAATATTGAACGAAGGCCACCCACCATCAGAAAGTTATAGAAATTAACAATATAGCATTATGTTCACTCTGACAATTTGTTTTGCAGGCTAAAGATGGACAACTTTATTTCAGGGATTCATTCCTACACAGCTGAGTGAGGGAAAGTAAGATTTTTACCAAAATCAGAGATGCAAGTTTCTGGACAACTTCCTAATTACATACAAGACATTAAACAGGAAAAACAGTAACTTAAAATATCGGTAAAGTAAATAAAACATTTTACTTTTCATCTGTTTTTAATTGGTCCAACGACAATGATTCAAAAAATGCGAAGTAGCACCCTCTGGCAAGGTTAAGCGGAAAATCTTAAGTGGGGGAAGGTCCTAAAATCCCAGCCTTCTCCAAGATAGGTTCGAAATTAAGAGCTTTTATGTAAACTATCAGACAAACTTTTATAACCTAAGATTTAAAGAAATGTAACTACGAAATCGCTAAAGAGCAAATAGGTAAATCAAATGAGAAAACACACTCCCAAGCCCTTAAGGCACCCAGCATAAATATATCTCTTCCCAGAGCTTAAAAAATATTTTTCTTATTAGCCAGGCACGGTGGTGCTTGCCGGCAGTCCCAGCTACTCCGGACACTGAGGCAAGGAGGATCGCTTGAGCCCACGAGGTACCGTTTGCAGTGAGCTGAGATCGCGACACTGCACTCCAGTCTGGGCAACAGACCAATACCCTGTCTCAAAAAAAAAACAAAACAAAACACTACCACACTTTTAAAACAAGTTATCAACGAAATAAGCCCTTACCAGCCAGATTCTTAAGACTGGATGACGACCCATTAAAAGCTTCTTCCACCTCAAATAACTGACTTACAACTTTTATTTTGTAAATTCATTTAAGTCTTTAGCTTGGTAAGAGTCCCTGAAGAATTTACTAAATGGAATATATTGAATATTTTTAAAATAATATTTTAGCTGGTCTCTTCAAAACACTTTTTTTTTTTTTTTTTTTTTTTTGAGACGGAGTCTGGCTGTGTCCCCCAGGCTTACCGCGAGCTTCCCCTCCCGGGTTCACGCCATTCTCCTGCTTCAGCCTCTTGAGTAGCTGGGACTACAGGCGCCCACTACCGCGCCCGGCTAATTTTTTTGTATTTTTAGTAGAGACGGGGTTTCACCGTGGTCTCGATCTCCTGACCTTGTGATCCGCCCGCCTCGGCCTCCCAAAGTGCTGGGATTACAGGCGTGAGCCACCGCGCCCGGCGGCATCACTCGTTTTAAAGGTAGCTTTTTTTTTTTTTTTTTGAGACAGTCTCACTGTGTGGCCCAGGCTGGAGTGCAGAGGCGCGATCCCCCCTGCAAGCTCCACCTCTCGGGTTCACGCCATTCTCCTGCCTCAGGCTTCCAGCAACTGGGACCACAGGCGCCTGCGACCACGCCTGACTAATTTTTTGTATTTTTAGTAAAGACGGGGTTTCACCGTGTTAGCCAGGATGGTCTTGATCTCACGACCTCGTGATCCGCCCGCATTGGCCTCCCAAAGTGCTGGGATTACAGGCGTGAGCCCCCGCGCCCGGCATGAAGGTACCATTTTTTTTTTTTAACTAGAGAGGCTGCTTTTTGGAATTGTCTCTCTACTGCTACACTTACTTTTTTTGAGACGGAGTCTCCCTCTATTGCCCAGGCTGGAGTACAGTGGCGCAATCTCGGCTCACTAAAACCTTCGACTCCTGGGTTCAAGCGATTCTCCTGCCTCAGCCTCCCGAATAGCTGGGACTACAGGAGTGCACCACCACGCCCGGCTAGTTTTTGTATTTTTAGTAGAAACGGGGTTTCACCATATTGGCCAAGCTGGTCTCTAACTCCTGACCTCGTGATCCACCTGCCTCAGCCTCCCAAGTATTGGGATTACAGGCGTGAGCCACCGCGCCTGGCCTTACACTTTTCACCCAAGTTTTTAAATTTACTTTCCTAACTTAGCCGTTCCTTACCTATTTAGATATCTCATGTGCCCTCCAGAAAGTGCTTCTACTTCGAGCCCATTTTAAACATTTTTCACGAAAAGATATGTTGTTTGGCTCTATTATTAAAAGCTGCTTAATGCCTTATCTGACAAAAATTTTCCCTTACAGATTTTCAGAGTATGAAAGGTTAAGACTGATGTCCCTTCTACATTACTTATGAGAGATTTCAAAGGGAAAAACAAAAGCTATTTTATATACTTTTTTTTTTGAGACGGAGTTTTACTCTTGTTGTCCAGGCTGGAGTGCAATGGCAAGATCTCGGCTCACCACAACCTCTGCCTCCCTGTTTCAAACGATTCTCCTACCTCAGCCTCCCGAGTAGCTGGGATTACAGGCATGTGCCACCACGCCCGGCTAGTATTTTGTATTTTTGTAGCGACGGGGTTTCTCCATGTTGGTCAGGCTGGTCTCGAACTCCCGACCTCAGGTGATCCGCCCACCTCGGCCTCTTAAAGTGCTGGGATTACAGGTGTGAGCCACCGCGCCCAGCCTGATTCAAACTTTTAAAAACCCCGATTACGTATCACTCTCGGGGAGGGGGCTCCCTCAAAAATTCTAACATGCTGTGCTCTAGAAGCTTGTTTCCAGTGATAAACTTCGCTTCAGTGTATCCCTCACTCATTCCTTTAGATTTCTAGCCGTCAGTATCATGACTTTGAATCAAGCAAACCCTTCTTACTTTTCCACAAAGTCACTCCCTCTCATCTCTTCTGAATGGAATATTTTTTAAAAAAAGGTTCCCCCTTAATTGCTCTCCATACCTTTTAGGACGCAGTTAGTACCTTAAAAAATAACCTCCCGTCAAAAAAAAACCAAAAACTAAAACAAAACCCTGTAAAACCGGCAGTTCCCACTGTACGTGGCAGTGCCAAGAATTCTTACTCGGTTAAAATCGCCGAGGTTTCCTTTATCATCATAAAATGAAGACTACCATAGAATCTCAACACAAATTTAAACTCTTTAGGACAACAGTAGGTTAATTACACGCCTATTACATACATATTTCATCCCACAGTTACAGGATAGTGAAACCTCACCTCAGGTTTAACATGGAACACAGAAAATGTCCGTGTCTTTCCAAAGCAGACACGTGCAGAACTACCTGCTCAACGGTAACTCCTCCTCGCTGCCAGGGAAGCGGCTGAGTTTTGGCAACCTCCCGTGTTTTCAAGAGACTGGAGTTACGAGGCGGACTTCAAGTACCCACACTCAAGAAACCCAGACACTGGAGAGAGAAGTATGTTGCGGCGTGGGCATGGCTTCACTCTAGTTGCCTAGCAGTACCTGCCGCTCACGGCTAGGCCCGCGTGGGGCTCTCCCAGGAGCTCCGCCAGGCAACTGGCGGCACCCACCACAGGTGCACTCGACTCAGGGCCTGGCCCGGGGACCACAAAGCAGCAGAACCGGAGCGCCCAAGCAGCCGAGGCGACCCACGAGGGTTCACGCTTCACGGCGCCGCATGGCGAGCAGCTCCGGGGAGCTTAAGGCCTAAGGTGAAGTTACCTAAGGAAGCCAGTAGCCCAGACAGCCAAAGAGGGAAAAAGTAGGATTTCCGGTATAGGGAAGCCAAGGGACGTTTCAGGGGTGGGGGAAGCAGACATCTGGAGGAAAAATGTCCTCCACCCGCCAACGGTAACCGGAACAAGGATCCTGGACCTCCCGCCCCCAGGCAGGAACGACTGCCACCACCGATGCGAGAAAGGCTATGGGGCCAAAAGCAGAGGGAGGGCAAGGGCCGCTTCCAGGGAGCCCCCAACGCGGCCTCGGCCTCACTCTGGGCGACCTTCCCTCGGCGGGGTGTCGCACTCACATTGTGAACGGGGCAGGGGGACGGGCGAACGGGTGGGCGGGCCTCTCTGGCGGTGGCTGCTGCTAGGGAGTCGACTTCTCTCCAGTGGCGACTCCGCGTTTTCTCCCCGGTCGCGGCCTCTTCTTGCTTCCCTCAGGCGACGGCGGCAGCGGCGGGCTCGACCTCGGTCCCCAGAATGCACCGCGCGGAAAGAGCGGCTCCTCCGGTCGGGGAGAAGAGGAAAGTGTAGGAAAACGGGCGCGAGGACGGAGAATGAACGTGCGTGCGTGCAAACGAGGGGTGGTGAGGCCGGGCGGCGGCTGGTGACGCAGCAAAATGCCCGGGCCTTACCGCCGCGCGTGCGCAGTCCTTGTTTTCGGGGTCCGGCGCGGCTTTCTAGAGATATCTACGGAAAGGGCGGGGCTTCCCAGCTCCTTCGCGATCCTTCCTGGCGTCGGCCCCGCCCTTCGTCCGCCACCCCACCCCCACCCCGCCCCCTGCTAGTCGCTACGCGTTCCCGCCTCTCCTCCCTCGCTGTCCTCTCGCGTTAGAAAACCGTTGGTGTCCCAACTGCCCGGCCATGCGCCTTGGGCGATTTCTCTGAGAAACGGCTGCGTTGGCAGTGGGAGGCAAGGCCAAGGCGGAGGGACACGGAGTCAGGATCCTATAGAACTAAAATGGAGCGTTGGTTACTCTTGAGGGAGTAAATCAGTTCACTGAGGAATCATTCCACCACAAAAACCTGTGAAAAGGCTGTGCTGTGGAAAAGGGCTCACTTCAGAATCAAGGGCCTGGGTCTACCTCGCCATTTTTCTGACGGTTGGAGGCTCTGTCTAGGGACAGCGGAAATTGGAGGTTCTTGGCGGAGGAGGAGCATTTGCCATTTGGGGCGGGCTTTTGCCCCTACCTTGAGACATCAGTGCTGTAGATGAGACAGGAAGGATATTTGGTGGGAGAGTCTTAGGTTTCTGGGAATGGAGAGGCTAGGACATTGGGTGTCTCCACGCACATCATTTGGGGGAGAACGGGTTCCCCGTCGCTTCGTGCAACACACTAATAGGGTGTATTAGGGGATAGTAACCAAGAGACCCAAAACAGTCCTGCTTACCAAGAGGCCACTTAACGGTGGAGTATGGGAAAAATACTCTAGTGCACTGCATTATGAACAGGAAGGAGGTTTAACGAAAGTGCTATAAAACGTTTCTGAAGAACGGGGCTTCATAATAAGCAATAAGGTATTTAGTGTCTATGTTGTGCACGACAGGTAGTGGGAGCTACGAAAACTGGACCCTAGCTCAAATGCCATTTTGGACCGGGCGCCCATAGCTCACGCCTGTAATCCCAGTACTTTGGGAAGCTTGAGGTGGGCGGATCACCTGAGGTCAGGAGTTTCACCTGCCCAACATGGTGAAACCCCATCTCTACTGAAATTACTAATTAGCAGGGCGTGGTGGCACGCGCCTGTAATGCCAAATACTAGGGAGTATGAGGAGGGAGGATAGCTCGAACCCAGGAGGTGGACGTTGCAGGGAGCACTCTAACCTGGGCGACAGAGTGAGACCCTGTCTCAAAAAAAAAAAAAAAAAAAAAAAAAAGGGAAGTTGGCCTGGCGCAGTGGCTCACGCCTGTAATCCCAGCACCTTGGGAGGCCGAGGCAGGCGGATCACGAGGTCAGGAGTTTGAGACCAGACTGGCCAACGTGGTGAAACCCCATCTCTACTAAAAATACAAAAATTAGGGCCGGGCGCGGTGGCTCAAGCCTGTAATCCCAGCACTTTGGGAGGCCGAGATGGGCGGATCACGAGGTCAGGAAATCGAGACCATCCTGGCTAACACAGTGAAACCCCGTCTCTACTAAAAATACAAAAAATTAGCCGGGCGAGGTGGCGGGCGCCTGTAGTCCCAGCTACTCGGGAGGCTGAGGCAGGAGAATGGCGGGAACCCGGGAGGCGGAGCTTGCAGTGAGCCGAGATCGATCGAGCCACTGCACTCCAGCCTGGGCGGCAGAGCGAGACTCCGCCTCAAAAAAAAAAAAAAAAATTAGCCGGGTGTGGTGGTGGGCGCTGGTAATCCCAGCTACTCGGGAGGTTGAGGCAGGAGAATTGCTTGAACCCGGGAGGCAGAGATTGCAGTGAGCCGATCGCGCCACTGCACTCCAGCCTGGTAACAGAGCAAGACTCTGTATGGGGGGAAAAAAATTAAGAGGGCGTGGTGGTGGGCGTTTGTAATCCCAGCTACTCCAGAGGCTGAGGCAGGAGAATCTCTTGAACCCAGGAGGCGGGGGTTGCAGTGAGCTAAGAGTCTTCCATTGCACTCCAGCCTGGGCGACAGAGGGAGACTTCGTCTCAAAAAAATAAATAAATAAAAATTAGGCCGGGCGCCGTGGCTCAGGCCTGTAATCCCAACACTTTGGGACACTAAGGCAGGTGGATCACAAGGTCAAGAGAGAGGGGACCATCCTGACCAACATAGTGAAACCCCGTATCTACTAAAAATACAAAAATTAGCCGGGTGTGCTTGGTGTGCCTATTAGTCCCAGCTACTCTGGAGGGTGAGGCAGGAGAATCGCTTGAACAGGGGAGGCAGAGGTTGTCGTGAGCCAAGATCGCGCCACTGCACTCCAGCCTGGGCAACAGAGCGAGACTCCGTCTCTAAATAGATAAATAAAGTGAAAACTGTAACTCTTACATCAGACGAAAACTGACAGGGGGGCCGGATTTGGTGTGCAGGCTGTAGTTTGCCAATCTCTAGCCTAAGTAGTCCAGAGTGTAAGGGAGTAAATTCAAGATATGTTCAAGAAGGTAGGTCATGGCCGGGCACGGTGGCTCATGCCTGTAATCCAGCACTTTGAGAGGCCGATGCAGGCAGATCACTTGAGGCCAGGAGTTTGAAACCAGCCTGTCCAAGATGGTGAAACCGCATCTCTACTAAAAATACAAAAATTAGCTGGGCATGGTGCGCCTATAATCCCAGCTACTCAGGAGTCTTAGGTGGGAGAATCTCATGAACCCAGGAGACGCAGGTTGCAGCGAGTCTAGATTGTACCGCTGTACTCCAGCCTGGGTAACAGAGTGAGACTCTGTGTCAAAAAAAAAAAAGGTAGGTCACAACCAAATAATGGTGGCACTGAATGTCAGGCTTTTTTTTTTTTTCCCGAGACGGAGTCTCACCCTGTTGCCTAGGCTGGAGTGCAGTGGCGCAACCTTGGCTTACTACAACCACCGCCTCCCGGGTTCAAGTGATTCTCCTGCCTCAGACTCCTGAGTAGCTGGGATTATAGGCGCTCCCCATCATGCCTAGCTAATTTTTGTATTTTTAGTGAAGATGGGATTTCACCAGGTTGTGCAGGCTGGTCTCGAACTCCTGACCTCAGGTTATCTACCCACCTTGGCCTCCCAAAGTGCTGGGATTACAGGCATGAGCCACCGCGCCCAGCCAGTCCACACAACTTTTGAAAAAAATTTCCTGACAGCAATAACGTCATGGTCCACACAGCTTAATAAGTGTTTTGGCTCACTGCAACCTCCGCCTCCTGTGTTCAAGCGATTCTCCTGCCTCAGCCTCCAGAGTAGCTGGGACTATGGGCACACCACCATGCCCGGCTAATTTTTGCATTTTTAGTAGAGGCATGGTTTCACTATGTTGATCAGGCTGGTCTTGAACTCCTGACCTCATGATTCGTCCCCGCTTGGTCTCCCAAAGTGCTGGGATTACAGGCGTGAGCCACTGTGCCTGGCCAGGCTAATTGTTTTTAACTTATTTCTCTGACAGTGGGACACTATTGAAGTTTTTTTTAATTTTTTTTTGGGGGTGGTTGGTGGGTTTTTGTTTTTTTGAGACTGAGTCTTGCTCTGTTGCCAAGGCTGGAGTGCAGTGGCGCGATCTCGGCTCACTGCAAGCTCCGCCTCCTGCGTTCACGCTGTTCTGCCTCAGCCTCCAGAGTAACTGGGACTACAGGTGCCCGCCGCCATGCCCGGCTAATTTTTTTTTTTTTTTTTTTTTTTTTGTATTTTTAGTAGAGACAGGGTTTCACTGTGTTAGCCAGGATGGTCCCTCTCTCCTGACTTGTGATCCGCCCGCCTCAGCCTCCCGAAGTGCTGGTATTACAGGCTTGAGCCACTGTGCCCAGCCTGAAGTTTTTTTTTAAGTAGGAGAGTAGTTCTCTTGTGTTGTAAATTAATTTGGTGATAAGGTATAAGATGAATTTAAAATGGAAGAACGGAACTGAAGGTAGCAATTACATGACTGCAACTCCAAATTACTGGCAATTTCCCTTATCAAAAGAAGTATTGCGGGAAAAACTGCCTTTTATAATACATTTTTAAAAATTCAAACCCACTGCATCCTATTTCATAGGGTTTGGTTTTGTTTTGTATTTTGAGACGGAGTCTCGCTCTGGTGCCCAGGCTGATGCAGTGATGTGATCTTGGCTCACGGCAACCTCCACCTTCTGAGTTCAAGTGATTCTCCCACCTCAGCCTCCCTTATAGCTGGGATTACAGGCCTGCGCTACCACACCTGCCTAATTTTTGTATTTTTAGTAGAGACAAGGTTTTGCCATGTTGCCCAGGCTGGTCTTGAACTCCTAGTCTCAAGTAATCCGCCTGCCTCAGCCTCCCACAGTGCTGGGATAACAGGTGTGAGCCACCGTGCCAGCCTAATTCACTGTTATTTACACACATACTGCCATTGCTTATTTACTTCCCTGTGTCTTCTTTGCTAAACATATTTCAAGGGATTTCATGTTAATGTAGCTCTGAAAATGGCTTCTCTCTCAAAAGATCACAAATAATTTGTAATCAGGTTTATCCATGCATTTAGATGTTATCTCAACCATTAGCCAGTGGAACCCAAGTTGAACCAGATTCCTTTTTCAAATTCACTAAGAAGTTCAGTTTGTATAGGGGCAAAATCTAGATTCAAACATATTATGAGCCAGAGGTTTTGGCAAAAGAATCTGCAGCCTGAATTGGCAGAAACTAGAAAATATTTGGCAAGTATTAGATCCTGTTTCAAAAGTTGAATCCTTAGGTGAGTGTCGTGGCTTGTGCCTATAGTCTCAGCTACACTGGAGACTGAAGTGGGAGGATCTGCTTGAGCCCAGGAGGTCCAGGCTGCAGTGACCCATAATGTAACCAGGACCTCCAGCCTGGGTGACACAGCAAGACGCTGTCTCAAAAGAAAAAAAAAAAAGTTTAATCTAACAATCTAACAATTGCCTAAGAGGAAAGAAATTACTAGGACAATTGAAAAAAATTTGTAAAAG